CGAGACCTGGACAGGCTGGAGAGTTGGGCAGAGAGGAACCTGATGAAACTCAACAGGGGCGAGTGCAGGGTCCTGCACCTGGGGAGGAACAACCCCATGTTGTCATTAGTGTGGCAAAGGATGGGCAAACTGAACTGGGCACTATTGGCTTGCCCTGCAGGGAAACCTGGACTGTCTGTATGCTTGTCAGTCCAGCACCTATCCTGGGTCCTACTCAGAGTACTACCCTGCCAACAATGATTACAAAAACTACCCTCGATTTCAACTGTATTTTATTTTTTCAAAACAGATGGCAAATCTGAACGTGGCTCTTCTCGCTACACACCTGCACATCCTGACAGGGCAGAAGCCCCTTTTCTGCGTGAAAAGAGATGTCCAAGTTGTTGAATGTACCCTGACAAGATCCTCTTAACTGTTGGCAGGCTGCAGAATGCTTGCAAGTCAGCCCCAGTCAGCTCCAGTATGAAGCACACTGCAAAAGTCAGGGAAGCATCGGAACATCAGCAACACCACCCTGGAAAGGTACAAGTACACAAATCCCCTCCGCAACACAAAAAGGATCAGTCCCGCTCCAACGTGTGAGATTGCACAGTGATTCTCTGACTATGCAAAGAATTTCTGCACCCTTTGAAACCAAAACGCTGCAGCTCAAGCTGAAGAACTCTTTGCATGGACCCGCTCTAAATTCCTCCATCCCCGCTCCCTCTGTTGCACATCCCCAGACTTGTTGTTTGCTAGGAGAAAAGAAAGCTCACAGGGGTCATGGTAAAGTTGTTCCGCCCCCTGAAGATGGGGTTCAGCTTATCGAGCCCTTTACAGCTTCTTCGAAATGGATCAAATCGACACGTGTGATGATTGCACAAATGAAAAATCATAGAATCAGCCCGCAGAACATAACCGATGTGTCAGTGAGCAGGTACAGAGACCGCAGCCTCAGTAAGGCTTCTCCGAGCAGCTTTGAAAAGTTGCATCAAGAAGCAAGGTAATGCAAAAGGTTGCTCCATCTTTTTGCCTTTCGTCTTACAGACCACATCTTCACTGGGTATATTCCTGTGTGGGCAGAAGTTGTATCACCTCGCACTATGCTGGTGTGACTGATGGCAAGTCAGTTTTTTGCACAAATGACGAGCAGGATAATGGTGCTCAGGGATGGGTCATGTCAAGAGTGGGGATTTTCAGTCCTTGCTTATTATTTGCTGTAGCCCTTACATGCAGGGTTGCCAACTTTTGGGGAAATTTTACTATTAAGCACTTGAAAATAGTCTTTTTTTAATTTTAACTTAGTAGCGGATAAAAGTTCCACTCGCTTTTCTCTCTGCTTGCATAGAGCCCCCACGTGAGGCCCGCGCCTGGTGTCCGCATCCCCGGAGCATAGGATCATAGAGTGGTTTGGGTTGGAAGGGACCTGAAACCTCATCTGGTTCCAACCCCGCTGCCATCAGCAGGGACATCTTCCACCAGCCCTGGTTGCTCAGAGCTCCATCCAACCTGGCCTTGGACACTGCCACAGAGGGGCAGCCACAGCTTCTCTGGGCAACCTGGGCCAGTG